ATAATCATGATTGGATGTATGAGGAGCAAACTAAAAGTCATAGACGAAGACAAAGATTGCTGGCAAAAGCGGACTCAGTTCAAACCCAACAATACCGATGTAACAAAGGACGATATTAAAAAGGCTGATATCTGTGATAGTACTATAAAGAATTGCTGCTGATATAATAGAAAAATAATATGGGGAGAAATTTTGAAGAAAAGAAGGATTATGATGACGATATTCCTCTGTAAGAACCTGCTAATGTGACATTTGGAAGTTTAGCATTAGATAACATTATTAATACAGAAATAAACAAACAATTTATTTTTAATTTTTTTTCCAGAGTTATGAACTTTGTTTTATGAACATAGTTTATAAATTTGCTTATACTGGGCAGCTTCATACATATTTAGTCGTGTTCTGTGTACTTTTCTGCACAATTCTGTTTGAGGCATTGTTTACATCTTCCAGCATAATATTATACAAATAACAAAACAAATAATTCCCAAACTAGCATAAGATGTTCAAAAACACAAAAGAAACAATATGTCTAGTTGTTTAAAAAAAGAAGTTTATTACACTGCCACTAATGTCAAGCTATGTTGCTACTGCTTTCTTGACCAATTAAACTAATAGTTACCAATATTTACTCTATGACCATTAAAATTATTTTTCTGTTTTATCCATCACTAAAACGTTACTACATGTATTACGAACAGAGTAACACATAACATTGTCATCACAAACAACAGAAGAAATAGTATCTATCATTACACCCTTTTTTAAATGGATAACTCGACATTTCACTTAAAAGCGATTAGAAGAAAGCTCTTTTCCCCTTTTCAACATTTTCTCTGAAAAGTTTCCCAACGTTTGTTAAATATTCAACTGGTTGCATTCGTAGTATATATTCATTTCAAAAGGTCAGCATAAAATGAAGAAAATATAATGCTGAAGATGCTTGAAAAAATATGTACTGGTTTCGTTCTTGTTGATATATTTCTACTTCTGACAAACTTTATTTTGAAATTTTTGCCAACTTATTCATCATGCAACCCAGTTTTTAGGGAATCAAACACGTGACAACGCTATTGATTATTTCATTTTTATTCTAATTTATCATCTCTTCTTTTCCAAGGTATCATTATATTTTGGACCCGTTTGTACGGGCAGTCATATACCTTGCATTTGACTAATGATAGGATTTTGTTCAGGAATGGACACGAGTAATGGCTAAATCATCTTTATGACATTTTCAGGTTCTGTAAAGTTAGAAGCCAACTGGTGGAACACAGAGTACTTTCAAAGTCGTATCTGATTTCATGCTTTCTTTTAACGCTTGTAAACATTTAGCTTCTTGCTGTATGAACTAATAGGACGTTTTCGTCATTTCCCTATCATTGTTTCTTGTATCGAATCTCTTTTACCTCACCATTGTAGGTGTACAACTACCGTACGTTTTTTTACGAGCTCAAAATAATATAACACTTGTATATAATACTGTTTGTATTATATGTACTCTGACGGAGAACGAAAGTTGAAATTATTTTATAATTTTAATCCTTATATTGCATCATTTTTATAGTGTTTATTGTAACGTAATACACAGGTGAAGAACATGCTAAACTTGTATATTACAGAGAAATTTTAAACTGTGATGTAGTCCAAACAATATTTCTTCTATTCCCACCACATCCCCCTAGAATCACTTTTTATATAAATGCAACAAACTGACAACAAACAAACCAAGATTAGTTTTTAAACATCCTAGGCTGTTTCGTCTCTCACAGAGACTAAACAAACAAAACACACAAAGCGTTGAAACCACAAAAGTTTAGATTACTTTAATTCAATCAGAAATGGTCAAGTAAACATTTTGGTGTCAACGCTTCAGTCTCTTTACCAGTTTTCTTAGCGATTCTACATATGATAGGACGTGTGTATCGTAAAGAAACTAGTAGATTTTTTTTCTTTTACCAATCTCCAGCCACCCACTCTCTATTTGCCAGTGCCCGTGCCGCTATATAAGAGCAATGAAGGTGTTACGGGGAGAGTTTTCCTATATAAAGAACGATCTAGAAATGGGTATAACACTTCACGCGGACATGGTATTTCGAGAAAAAAATAAATGTTCTTAGTTGGAACTATCAAGTTAACAGAGAATATTTTTCTCAGGGCAACAGTTGTTTTTCGACTACAATGTGTGCGGGTGAGGGGCGTTAGCTTCGTTTATTCGTTCCAAACCATACTACCACATCACCCATAATGACGTGTTAGAATCTTCCTATTGCTGTTCTGGCCCTTCGGGCGGTCCCAATTGTTACAGTATCTGAGTTTACTGGGAGCTTTTGGGAAATATTCTATAGACCCCACTGCTGATGGAGCCTAACAAGATCTTTTGTTTACATTTTATGGCAACCATGGGTAAAAAAAAATGTAATTGAATGTCTGGCAAAGGATTTAAAACCTCAAAGGCTATATGCCGGCTAAGGCAGGCTTTTTTGTTAAGGCAAGGTAGACATTGGTCAAGATGAAACATCTGCAGGCAGCCATCAAGGAATTCGAAAGTCGGCTACTGCAGCGTGGTTATGACATTTACTTTATCGACGGTACCAGCAATTTCTCAGGGGCCCTGAGTGGCCGAGTGGTCTAAAGCGCTGCCCGTTACGGATCACTGCCATCTCACCTGTCTGCGTGTGTTCGAGTCTAGGATTCGTCGTATGTGGATATGTGAGAAAGCTTGTCAGTAGCTTCTCGTGGGTCGGTGGTTCTTTCCGGTGATTTCCCGGTTTCTTCCTCCACCATTAATACTGACCGCAATGAATAGCCTATCGTGTGCTGAAAAATGGCGTTAAGCCCAACAACAACAACCAGCAATTTCTCAGAAGTACTAGACAAAGAAACCCGATTAAGCATTTCGTGTGCAGGAAGGCCATGTGAAAACAGAGCGGCATAGCCCAACGAGATGCTCCAACCATTCTTCAAAATGCTGACAGAGTTGGCAACACATCTGCACCTACATCCGCACTATGGACCATGTATACACTATCCAAAAGCAAGATGTACAACATGATAGTTACGAACCTTCGTTGCAGGAGAAGTATATTTAGAGGATGCCTTGTGGACTGCCCAAACGAGCACTTGCAAAAATATTTTCTTGAACTGAGAGGTCAAGGCTCGTGCCTGCTCAAGAATCAAGGTTTCGCTTTATGCATGACGTCTTGATAATTTGCTGGATGAGAATACCACCGAAGCTGTCATGAAGTACGTGTTTGAGATATTTTCGCCAAAGGTACTCGGGACGAACGGGCAAGAAAAATAAAGTACGCAAGGCCAAGTCTCTCCGCGATTCATTTGGGCACCGAAAGCTGCAGCTCTTTGTGTATTTCGAAATATATCTGCACACATATGCTTGTGGGATATTTGTGCTTATATACAGAAACATGCACCAGGGTGTTTTTCATTACGGGAGGGGAGGATGCTAGTTGCTACTAACCAGCTTTCGGTGTACAAGATCGAGGGTTTGAACGGACACTCATGGTTTCTCCAGACGATATAATCCAGTTGCTATACTTTCCAATGCTGTTTCTGTAAGTTCGCTTAGGATCACACTAATGAAGGTTATGAGCTGGTTTGGTGTTGCCGACCGTGTAGGCGTCGAGAACGTTTCCTGTACATGTTCCTAATCGGCTCTTATTCGTGTACTGAAACGGTTCTTTGTACAGATTAAATGAAATGGCTGTTCAAGCCCTACATTGAAGTTTCTGATAGGCTTAATTAATTCTGTACACAAGATGATAACCAGCTCGATAGTCAAAATGCAAAAGCAAATCGAATCCAAGCACTACTATCTACTATGGAGGCATACGGTAGCATGGCCCTATCTAAAACGATATAGAACTGGAGCTAACTTTGTTAAGGGTTGCGTCCCCTGTGGAGCAAATCTAGTAATCATCAACTCTTTTGACAATTATTGCTGTTATTCCCATGGTTCCCGCTGCTCTAGTACGGTATACGATTACAGCTAGCTTGGCGATCTGGAAGCGCAGTTGGAATGGAATGGCAGACCAAAAAGCTAGACTTCGCGGCAGAAACTCTGGAGCGGATAAAGCAGTTCTAAGCGGAGTAAATCGACAGCGTGGCCAGCGACCTCACTTTTTTGGAGGAAAATGTGGTGGATGCCTTGGAAGAGAACTTCATCTCTAGGTACGAATTGCAATATATTAGGAACATGATTTTGCATGCCTAGTAGTAGACGTAAATTGCGTAGGGGGCCAACCTGGTAAAGACAATCTGCAAAAACGTGTGGGTTCGTGCCACACATTTGGCTGTCTGAACGATAAGAAATGATGGCGGAACCGCTGTACGCAAAATACCATCCATTCTAAATGGCATAGTCTGGATGTGGGTGAAACAAGTCGCGCCAAAAGATATTGGGTTTCTAGATCTAAACATCCTACCCTGAGCCTGCGGCGAGAAGGTTTTCGTCTCTTGTGCTTGATTCTGTACTAGGGACGGAAAGTGTGTGTCTCTTGGAAGATGTTTACTGAAGATATTAAGGTGTTGGAATCGCCCGAAAAGCTGAAACTGCGCCAAGCGCAAGCGACTCAGACAAATAAATAACAAACGGTGATTCAGAGAGGGAAATAACTTAAAGTTGACCAGACATGGAAATAACGTAAGGAAGTCCAGACTAAGACATAAAGTAAGGTGACTCAGACAGGAAAAATGCTCTTTGAAAATTTGTATGGTTCTCTCTCTGTCTCTGTCTATCTGTCTCTCTCTGTCTCACTGTCTGTCTGCCTGTCTCTCTGTCTCTGTCTCTCTGTCTCTGTCTCTCTGTCTCTGTCTCTCTGTCTCTGTCTCTGTCTCTGTCTCTCTCTCTCTCTCTCTCTCTCTCTCTCTCTCTCTCTCTCTCTCTCTCTCTCTCGCTACAAATTCACCCCATCTCTATAGCGAGATATATAAATATCGCTACAACTTGTGTGACATGAAAAGATATAAAGTACAAAGAATGCAGCTCCGGTATCTTAGTGGTTAGAGCGTCCGCCTCGGATGCGAGAGGTCGTGGGTTTGAACCCCGGTCGAGTCATACAAAATACTTACAAAAATGGTACTAACAGCTGCCTCGCTTGATGCTCATCATTAAGAGGTTAGTGTTAGGACTAGTCGGCCTGGTGTCAGGATAATGTGACTGGGTGGGACATCATGGTACATGTCTGCGGCACGATGCCCCAGTGCTAGACATCACTATAAACTGCCACATTGCAGATATCGTAGCAAAATGACTGAAAATTTTGTAAAGCTACGTTTAAAAATGACAAACACAACACCAACACAAAGAATGCGTAATTTATTGTCTGGTGTAGGGTATGGTGGAGTGGTGTTGAAAATACGTGATATGTATTGCTACGCTAAAATCCCCCCCTCTCTTCCTTCCTACGTAGAGTAAGAATGTGTTTGCAATGTGTACATTCATGATGTTATTGGTCTCCCATCCACCATCATTGGTGTTTTTGCTCATTTTGAATTTTCAGTTTCAGTTTCGGAGCATTTTTTTTGTTTCATCTGGTTTTTATATGAAATCAAACACTTTCTGGTGGAATATCAATACATTTTTAATCTAATTATGATTCAAATTTGATCTCTTGTGTGTTAATATTTATGTTGTAATTCAAAGCATAACAATAGCCGTACTTTAAAATATACGAATCTGTTTGACACTCATGACCATATCGAGTATATTGAAATTGTAATTAATGCATATTTTACATATATAGGCTAGCCAAGGCAATAATCAAGATAAGTTTCAACCACAAATACATATGGCTACTTGCTTATAAGCTCTAGTACAAAAACTGAAAATGTAGCTGTTGACCAATTTCTTTTTTCAAGAAAATTCATAGCATTAAATCACTGCCGTAATACAAAAATTTCACATTTTTGGCAACCAAAATTCTGAAAAAAGTTATGGATATGTTGTAATATCTGATAAACTTAATTGCTACATTATCAGTTCAAACAGTTCATGCTATCAATTATTGATTACCAATAGTTTGAATTATTCACTTAGAGCTTCTAAAAATTAGGCGCTATATAAAGTCCTCCTTATTATTATTATTATTATTATTATTATTATTATTATTATTATTATTATTATTATTATTATTATTATTATTATTATCTATGAGAGGTTTACATATGTATATAGGCCTATGCATGTATACATACTTCAGTGTAACTGTCAGTCTGTATTGACTGCCTATCAAACTATGTATAGTTTACGTATATATGGGATTTTGTTTAGCTCAACTCACGTTGGCAACAATAGAAGAAAAAAAATTTAAACGACTTCTTCTTATAAAAACAGCTCAACTGGATTTGATTAAGTTTAAACGAAATTGTACCGGATTGACGGTCCTTCAAATTTCTTCAGAAGCATGTCGATCTGCCATCAAATATAGCCACTGTGACATAAAATAGAAAACTTCGTTTTTAAAAAAAACCGCACTATATAATCTGACGAAAGCATCCTGACATAAAGAGATTTCATTTGGACATTTGGTGCGAAATCCCACGGTAAATATGGCTGCCGTTTATAAAAAATTACCACTTATATATATATATATATATATATATATATATATATATATATATATATATATATATATATATATATATATATATATATATATATAGTTTCAATACGTGTTAGGCATTTTAATAATGGATTCACAATCTGACATGTTAACTACTTTTGTGAGTGATATTAGGTCCACTTGGGTTTCTTGTTAGCTCAACATAGATGACATATAACATATTTTGAGTTTACGTCAGCTGGCTAGCATTATGATTTAAACACCAAAACGTTATTTAACTCATGGCAACAAAACGTGTTTTAAGTTTGTATTAAGACATTTATGCATAAATGTTATGCCGTACCAATATAAAATTATATGTTGGCACGAAATTACCATCATATTCAATGATGATCTTGATGACCTAGATCTCTCTTTTGTTTCTTATTGGGAACTAGACAAAATACGATTTTCACACGCTGAAGACTAACTGAGTATATTTATTGCTCTTGTTCTGTTTAATGTCAAGAAGACAAAGTGCAATAAACCGAATCTTCAAAGGTAGCATAATTTATATTTATTAAAAATGGCATACTTATCATCTCCAAATATAGTCTACTGTATTATTTATATGTTTGTTGAGCAGAAACAATGGGGGGTGGTGTGTGTTTAAGGTCAATACATGTTGTTCATATGTGCTAATCCTTAGAAATCAAAGATCATGTGTGCTAATCCTTAGAAATCAGAGAGAGAGAGAGAGAGAGAGAGAGAGAGAGAGAGAGAGAGAGAGAGAGAGAGAGAGAGAGAGAGAGAGAGAGAGAGAGAGAGAGAGAGAGAGAGAGAGAGAATATTCGGATAAAATCATTATAAAAATGCGTATGAATTTAAACAAACGATTTTCAATATGGTCTTGCAATTTTCAGAACTGACTGAATACTGAAACTGAAGTTTGATTTCGTGATGCAGGCGTACATCATATGAACACAGATTGAAAGGTCTGTGCTTCCAATCTCGACAGAGGTGAAGAAAACAATTTCCTTTTCCTTATGAAAGAGCTTCATATTCACTTGACTGTTGACAAGTATTTATGATTTTTGCTTATAAAACCACGATATATATATATATATATATATATATATATAAGCAAAACAAAAGATTGCTATTTCCTAATACACATACTTTTGACTGATTTCTGCTATAAAAGTGATGTCTTGTATGCTCGAATAAAAGAATACATATGATGAAATAATACCAAAACTAAATCGGAAACAAACAAAATGACACTTTTAATCAACAGTTAAACCAACAAAGAATTAAGGAGATTGGAGAGACTTAATTTAAACAGAGCTATTAAGGTCAAAATTTTCAGAAAGAAAACTTTTAACGAATTTATAATAGAAACAACCGAATTTTATATAAATGTTTAATAACATTCAACTGACTATGAGGAAGAAAATCCGGCAAACAATTTGTCAATTTGATTGTTTGAACGTTAAATTAGACTTAAAGCTGAGACTTGTACAACAAACGAACCACTCAAGAAGGAGACAAACTTAATAGCTTAATGAACTGCAAACTCAGTCTGTCTTCCTATGATTTACGTCTGCGTCACGAAACCAAACTTGCTAACACATTTACTCTCTGCAAACATAAAGCCTATTCTAGAACGGCAAACGGCGATAGCTGCTGTTTTTGAAATACTTCACACAAATACCTTGACAGGAAATAAGCGAAAATACAAGATAAGTGTTTGAAAGAATTAAGTACTGAACATTACACATATATAGATGTATTCCATCCACTTACAATTAGATCATATCTAAATCTACCTGAATGGATTTAGAACAAATCAAACTTGTATAAACGTAAACATTGAGAACAAAGTGTGCTTTATATATGCCGCGGAATAAGTCTTAAGTGCTCGATTAGGAAACTATCCGCAAGTAGGGCCTACTATCAAAATACAGTTTGATCAGATACAGAAATTGCTTTAGTAGATAATAGCATATCTTTTAGGACACACAACCATATTCATATTTATAGTTTTAGTCAATTTATTTTAACTAATTTGTTTAATATCGGTTTTCAAAAGTTTTGTGTAAAGGGCTATACATCTTTTATTAACATGAAATACAAATTCCAAATGGAAAGAGAGAAATGGTCAAACCAGTGTCGTGGCATTTAACTTTAACTCTTACATAAAAACTGTACATATTGAAAGCTAATATAAGGTTATCAAACTCTCACTACCAAGCCAACTTTAGAAAATATTTAATACACAATCCCTCTTTTACGTTATTCTCTTTTGACCGCCATATGAAGGTAACAAACAAAATCATTTAATTTCGGATAAAATGTGACGGAGGATTTAGTAACCAGATAAACGAATGTTTTTTTGGGGGGCAGGGGGAACAAATAAAGTTTTCAGAACTGTTTTTTTTTTACAAATTCGTGTTAAGGATAGCGTTTCCCAGTATTTTAAAACATTCTTTTTATCATTTCTATTATATTTGTTTAAAAACATCATTAACATTTTATACAAAGAAACCGAAAACTGTATGCCCCATTATGTGAATTCAGACATCAACTGTAATTTTAACCTGATATGATATGTTTCTGCACTGTACTCCAAAACGCTCTTGTTTTTGGCACTGTTAACTTCCAATTCTAAAATCCTTTCAAAAAATGATTTCAGAGATACAATAGAGACATTAAGAATTTAAATCAATATCATTTGCAAATTGTGACAGTAAATATTGTTTCCTTTAGCTTGATATCTTTTATATTTTATTATTCTTATTCTTTAATATCATGAACAATATTTCTAAACATAATAAGCTTTGAAGAATTCAGAGAGAGAGAGAGAGAGAGAGAGAGAGAGAGAGAGAGAGAGAGAGAGAGAGAGAGAGAGAGAGAGAGAGAGAGAGAGAGAGAGAGAGAGAGAGAGAGAGAGAGAGAGAGAGAGAGAGAGAGAGAGAGAGAGAGAGAACTGCCGATGAGTTATTTCAACCCTTCAACACACTGGCTCATACTTGATGTAAAATTTATTTTCATGAAAAAAAATTCATTTTCAAAATCAAATAATAACAGCATATCCGGAATTTGTAACTCTTTTGTGATGTGCATTATATAATATCCTTATATTTCCGCCAATATATCTTCCTTTGAAAAAAAATTGTTCGTCTGATATTATTTCATTCAATACTGCCTTAATTCTTTTGTCAGTATACCAATATGCTAATTTGTATACACTATTAATCAGAGAAATTTGACGCCATTTTCTAGGGAATATTTTGGTTTATTCTTTTTGGCTACCATGCCTTGTCCAGTTGAGGGTGACCAGCTGGATATGCTTAATTGTTCTAATTACAAATTCCCCAATGTCAATCCAAAGGAAATTAATAAAATTCAGCTGTGAAACCATCTTATGGAGGGATTTTGATATTTCTTACACTTTTCAAATAATCTGTCTGGGAAATTTTGCAATCTAATCATAAAGAATGAATGAATGTTTCTATGCCCTGTGTGAACGAAATTTGAAAGTAGTTGAAATGCGTCCATGAATGTATTAACGTTTATGTGATTTATGATAACCCTTCATTTATCTCGTACACCATCTTTTGTTTTAGCTCTGTTGGAATAAACTTCAAGCTTTTGAAAGTCATCCTTTCTCAGTATTTCATTTTTTCCCATGATATGACATAGCCTGCTTTGCAATTGCCTCACCATATTGTTATAATCTTGTCTGATTTGGGATGCAAAAACACCGGTGTTTTAAGCAAGATGAATTTGCATGTCGTTCATGTTTTAACCCATCGTTCTCTAATACGTTTCTCCCTCTCTTGTCTCATCCTAGATACCCGTAATCTTTATAAAAAAAATTGTGCTTGTTCTTTAATACTTCTGTTATACACCCATCTTCAGTTTGTCTCCGATGGTGTAATTTATTAAATGGCATAGTGCTTTCAGCGGATCGACCTGCTGTTACGTAATATATAATGTTTTTTTTTCTATTTGAAGAGTTTACCTTTAACCGTTGCTTCATTTGGACTTCAAGGCATTTCCAGATTTATATATGACATCTGCCTGTCGTTTAGAAATAACTCTTCGTTGCAAAGCATGCCCTCGGTATCCTATCAATTAAGATTTTCCAGTCCGTAAAAGGCTGGATCACCTAAAAGTATTTGCCTGGTATTAAATATTCGCTCAGCCAGGTCAAAAAAGTAGCCATTCGCAAAACCTTTTTTGGTATTTTTTGAAATTCTGTTTCATGCTTTTCAATTTCTGAGTAGATTAATCCAAGATTGTAACCTCTTTTTATGTTGGAGTAATTATTGTCAATCACGCTGGGATAACTGTTATTGTACCTCTCATAAAATATGGTAGAACGTCAACACATTTTCTAATTTAAGTTTAATTTAATTACCTCCACAAAATTGTCTTTAATGTTCCTTTAAACGTTTCCACCATGAGCCATATTAATTAAAGTAAACTGAGAAATACTCAATGTTTTCCTTTTCCAACAAATCTTTAACTTGACTGCTGCAAAACTCCTTTACTTGATCAAACTATATATTTTGTAGCTTTCTCTCTTTAACTAATGTCCAAAAAGCTTTGTTATATAACCTCTCTTTTCATGTTTACAGTCTAAGCTCAATATTATTTTCAGAAAATATTATTTGCATCCGTTGCTGTATTTTTAATATCCTTGCATGTCAAATATTTCTGGCTTACACTGGTCAATCACGTAAATGTCATAAACAGCTTCTCGCTTGCTTATTTAATATGCAGTTAGATTGTTTAGTTAGTGGTCTTTCAGTTCATTGTATTTATTATCTGCAAGTTCAATATTTTTCTGAGCAAACAGCTGGACATTCAAGGTCAAAGCAAAAATATAAATAAATAACAGGAACGATCATCATTGAAAACAAAACAAATACACACAGAATAGTTTCTAATTTATTAATTTTCATTGAGTGCTATCAATAAGCAAGCAAAACCACCGCTTAATACATGCACTTTTATAAAAGCCTTCTGTAACGTTTCTCCAATCATTGTAAACATAATGAATAATTTCAGATTTATCAAAATATGAATATTTCTATATTTTGAACACCAATCATCTACTTCATATAATGATACAATATGTACTGTTTCAAATCTGACTTCTCCAAGTTATATCTCTATGTTTGTCGAATCGTTGAGGATTATAATTATTTCATTCCTAATACTATACAGTTTGCTTTATCTTTTACTCAATCAGTGCTGATGCCACTGATGTCATCGCATCTATCATTAGAAATAACATAATCTTCTCTCCAGTACTGGAGTGCGTCGTTTTCATTGATATTTTCAATCAACAAACGAACACTGGTTTTCTTCCATGCAAATCTTCAACACGAGTAGCTTGAACGTTTTTTGTAACCGTTACACTTGTAAAGAAAAGTTAATTATTTGTTGTTAAGGACATTTCTGCTATCATGTTAAACTCATGCAATATTTGTTTTATCTGAATGACAATTGTTGAATTTGTGACACTAGTTTATTGTCATTGTTTATTTAACTTAAAATAAAACCACTGTAGTCTTTGTTTTATATGTATACACACATGACATATTTATCGACAGAAATAGTGAACTTTTTAAATTTGGAGACAAAATTTTTGTGATAATCTAGTTTCGAACCACATACATTTAAATATTTATATAAAAAATCTGCTGCTTTAAACCTATGACAGGAAGACTAAAACACACACACACGCGCGCGCGCGTTCATGTTTACATACATGTAAAATCCTAGCATACGAGATTTTATTGTCTCCATTTACCGTTATAGTACAAGTTTAAATAACAATATTGTATCATATAGTTGTGAAGTGGACAGATAAAGAGAGAAATTGTTAAGAGTTATTGATACAAACATTGATTTTATTAGGAGCTGGAAAAAAACTAAACAAAACAATGATCGAACTATTTATAAATTTTTCACTTTGTTCCAGAAATATCTGTTCTTATATATCAACAGTGACAAATATAATGAAAATCTGATGCCCGAAATGTTTTGTATGACAGCAAGGTCAAAAGGAATCTAGTTCAAACAGAAACACCTGTTATCGGCCCTTTCAAGCTGCGAGTGAACACATATTAAGGAAGAGTTGTCTGCCGTGTTTACTTGGCGGGACTTTGCAAACAAATTGAGTCTTCAGCTAGGCATAGCTTCTAGTGCCCCGAGTTTTCAGATTCTGACCTGCTGAAGAAACGGAGCTGTAAAGTAGAATCTCTGAGATCAAAAAGCTACTGCAAGTGATGTGATGTGATGTGATGTGATGTAATGTGATGTGATGTGATTATGATTTTTAACGTAGCTTTAACAATTTTTCAGTCATATCGCTACGATGATAGCAGTGTGTCAGTTTATAGTGATGTCTAGTACTGGGGCATCATTCCACAGACATGAAGCATGATGTCCCACCGACTCACATTATCCTAACACCCGGCTGACCAGTCCTAATGCTAACCACTTAATGCTGAGCGTCAAGCGAGGCAGCTGTTTGCACCATTTTTGTAAGTCGTTAGTATGACTCGACCGGGGATTGAATTCACGACCTCCCGCATCAGAGGCGGATGCGGTAACCACTAAGCCACCGAAGCGGTTGATACTGCAAGTATTTACTTACTAGGAAGTTAATATAGCTCCGTTTATGAGTAACTCAAATCACCTTTCGTTGTTTTTCATCCATATGTATAAACACAAATACGTCATTAAGAACACAATGAAACAAGCTCTTGCACGTCAAAAAAGTTTCTTTAATCAGCCAGCAGGCGTGGAAGACCATACAGGATCACCTTTCAAAGTAATTTTTAATCAGGCTTGCAACGATTGGTTAAGTAGTTTCTGCATATTCATTAGAAACAAGGAAATTTTTATCATAAGAAGCAGCTATTAGTGTCAAAGGGGTAACGCGATTTTTCTATCTTGGCTTGCGACGATCTGCTGCAAAATTGCAAATATTTTGATGCATTTCAAGTGCGAGAAAGCATATGGCTACCACATTACCTTTGTGTTTAACTAGGCGTGGGTCACCAGTTTATTTGATTACTGTAAATAGTGTGCTGCTGGATACGCAGTTCATCAGTACAGAGCGGTGTCCTCGACGTCAAATCACTGTTTTCACAATATGTTACTCTCCAGATGACATTGCCTCGTTTTAGACCTGCCCTCATCATTTAGAAAAATTGTTACGGAAATGTAAAACGGATGATTAAAAAATATTATTTCCATATTATAATAAAAACGTTACACCAAAACGTGTTTTGATAATCTACACAATGGCTTGGCTTTTGCATTCACTTTAGACATAATTCTGAGAAATTGTTAGGTTGCAACAATTGACAAAACGTTCAGTTAACGTGCATTTTATTTATTTGCACACTCATAACTAAAATTAGCGCAAATGGTCTATTATGACGCTAACACTTTATATTACGTTGTAGGTATAATTTTCCTAAAATATGTGCAGTTTCATATTTTTGATATTATCGTATGCTCAATTTTCTCCGTTTACTTTACATTGTCAGAATCGTGCAGTATTGAACTCATATGTGCTCAATAGCGTATAAGGAACTACTTTGTAAACAAATTATGTACAAACTCGTATTATGCATTTTTTGATTGATTAAATTTGTTTCTTAATGAACTAAAGGAGATGTTTCGTGGACTGTCACATAACAGCTGCTTTGGCACATTCCGCGTTAACTTGTTTGATACAATGTTTCAGATTTAGGCTAGTTATAGACGTCAGACAGGGTTCATACAAAAAGCATGCAACTTACAAGGCATAAACTGTTTTTTTAGCTGGTAATAGGAATGACAAAAGTATGCTTACAGTTTTACAATCTGAATATCCTCAATTTGTACTTTCTTAGTTCTGCAAATCCGAATTACACGAGCTATGTCATGGGTTCGCAAGCTTGATATCAAATTTAGAATATTGTACTGTAATTTCGACTATATTCTAAGTGAACTTACATCCTCCTTACTGCACTCAAAATGAAATAAACATTAAATACATATCATCTTGTCGATAATTGCAATTGAAAAATCTTCATATTTCCCCCACATTATGATTTCAAATATTCAATGACAGAACAGAAACACACTTGCAAATGTCAACGCGCTTCTGCCTCGCTGCTTCAGTCCGATGTATTTCATATAGAATTGACAGAGACGCTGCTGAAATCCGGTGTACTTCATGTAAATAAGTCCAGTCCATAATCGCGAAATTTCGTCGAATCGAGAAAAATACCAAAATATATTAATTCCTCAATGAAAAAGTTGTCGCAATGCGCATTCTTTCATAATATGACTCCAAATTTCAATTTTAAGTAGACCAAAACGCCATTTACTTTCCAAAGTTTTATTTAACGCGCGACTATGTTCAAACTGACCTGGGCAAAGGTATGTGCGCATTAATAATGTTGTTGTGTCATGACGAATCTGAGCTTGTGTATTTAGTTAGGAATACAGCATAAATTCAGTTACTTTTTTCTTGTAGTGTATTTTGGTTTATATAATTAAACCTTGGGTAGAATAAGAAAATGAGAATATAATAAAAAGGTTACTGCATTTGAATGGGAAAATATGAACTCGTTTTGTCGGATTGATATACTGCACTCCCATACAAATGCAGTAACCTGTAATTACCACACATTAAAATACCAGTTTATGTGATTCTGATTGGTCCAAATAAACCTATGATATTATTGTCCAGTATTCGCTTAACTAATTGGCTGCGATCGTGAAAAATCATTTTTTTATCTCCGCCTTCTGGAAATTTTTGTTTTCAATGAACATTTTGGCCGCCATTTGTCGAATCGACTTTCTAAATGTAATTGGGGAAAAATGGTGTCGTCTGTTTTAGCATGGTTAATTTACTCCCACAGGGATTATGTATAACATATCATAAAATGAAAAAATGGATAAAACCACACGACAGAAACAAAACAAGTAAAACTATGGGTATTGCTTGTGTGAGGTGTGGGTTGAGGGAGGCGGTATATCTGTAGCATGGAATCCACCCTATATACAAATGTGGTATAAATGTTATTTTACAGAAGTCAATAAGCTCACCTCTGTTCACAGAAGAATGCTGACATAATCCGATCTCCAGACTGACAGAAGTTTATCCAACCACTGTATATTTAGGCAGTAAATATGTGATGCAATTCCGAGTAAAAATGAAATTTGTTTGCGTATTCTGTAGCCTACTGTTCCAAATGAAGCAAATATCAGGACATAAATATATTACAGTAAATATGGGAATTCATTCATCCAGTAGATCTAAATTCTCATGAATATTGCATTATCAATGTAATGTTTAGTTGTGAAAGAGACACTTTATGGTTATGTAACCATGGATCGCCAAAAATGTACGGGTATTGCATCAAACAACTTGACGTCACACATTGGACTTTCTTTATTGAAAAATGATTTTGTGTGTAAAAAATGTGTTTATTGGGAATGACGCTTGTTCTTAGATTTTTAGTTTTTAAGTGAAATATAATTTACTTTTAAATGTAATTACTAGTTAAGCTTTGGTTGGAACTATTTTTATGCACTGCCAATGAAAGGTGCAACGTCTGCCAAAATGAATGAAATTATTCATTCTTCTTTCCATCTAATAATTTCCACTCAAATAAAAACTATGTGATAAAAAGAATCTCAAATTGATAATGATTTAACATAAAAATTATGAAACTCGTTGAATAATGTTCAGCTGTTGCTCACCAAGGATCTCAAAAGCTGGACATCATTCAACTTATTTCATTAATTCAGTATTAAATCATTACCCATTTGAGATTCTCTATGACTACAATTCAAAAGATAACGGCATAAAACAGTAATTATAATGGCATATTGAGCATTATGAGTAGTACTGCATGCTGGGATTACGGGCAGATATCAAGACATATCTTGGCCATGAGTCGTAGTAAGATCATGACGATGACAGGAGCATACTGTGATAACATAAAGAAGATGCGATCTTGATCACATTGTTAAATCGTCACTGGCCACCTATATTGTTCAAACGTGTGATATTATTATAGTCATAAACAAAACTTATTTGTTATGTATGCACCTCCATAAAAATGATTAATTAGTCTTAAAGTCCGCTTTTTCAAACTGAAACTTTTATTCAGGCAATCTCCGTAAACAATCGGTAGTTTCAGCTTGCTAAAACGGGATTTGACGTACATGTATTGCTTTCAGTTAACGTAGCCATTCAAGTGTTTAATTTCCCCACGTAGATGTCTATATGATTTATCTTCGTTCTTTTTTACAGCAAGTACAAAAGAGTGATGAATAGAAAAATGGTTCTTTCTTTTTCCGAAAGACCCTGTTTATCAGAAAAAAGTGGATTCAAGCTGTGGGATCGAATATCCATAGTTTATAGTGTTTTATTTTTCGACAACAAGAAGCATGTACTTCGTCTTGTGGGGATAAATGTACGTCATTTCCGGTTTGCCTCCTTTATAGGTAGAAAATCATTGGTAAGGGGAAGTAACAGAGTTATATACTTTTATTTCCAGTAATTTATTATTATTTCGTCTTTACACTTAATAATTTTTAGTTCTTTTTGTGCGAATATAACTACTTTTAATCATGTAATGCAAATCTGATGTAAAAAGAAAAATATTGGAGTATATCCGGTGACCTTTAATGAAAACACATCGGTTGTTTCACTGATTGATAATGACATGGTCAAAAATAGCACGGATTGTCAGAGAGTTTAAATAAGAGGTTATCCTTAGAATTACAGACAGCAACAGAGTTTACCATGAGCAGCAATCCATCGCGCAGAAATTTTCCCTGACTGAAATGAAAAATCACATATCAATATGTGGGGGCTTCAAGAACTTCGTCATGAATGACAAGTGTGATATAATAATGTATGCTACAATACTTTGTATTGGAAAAATCCTACGTCAAAAATGCCTTGATAAAGAAACTAGCAAGAAACATCTTTTGAAATGTTACTTATTTCTTCCAGCAGATATATATTTATCTATCTACAAAATAACCCCTTTCAAACTGACCCAAACGCAAGGGATATTGAAGGAACAAGTGCGGATTATCGTTTCCAAGAGTAAAGGCAACTTCGTTTCATTTCATTTAGCATGTCAGTCTCACTGTGGATATATCAACAACTTTTTCAGCCACAAGAACAGAAAATATTCCATTCATGTTTCATATGCAGTAACATTCAGGAGCAAAAGTTGACCTAATCTTTCTTCATATACCTGGTCATATTCCTCCCTCAGTGTTCGCGTTGGTTCTTAATTGGCCATCGATTGTGAATGTAATCAAATTTGGAATCGTAAATATGTTTCTGTAAGATGCAGTGATTATGTTCATTAGTAAGCAGGAATATTTTTTTTTTTTACAAAAATTTGAACAAACCATAAAAATAACTGGAAGAGTTGTTGTCCGTTAATGATTTGTATCACTTTTGTGTTATTCCCTTCCTTAATGAGAGTTACTATAATACATTTTAGTTGATCAGGAACATGTACAAATATCAACACAGAATCGTAAAGAGTAAGCAAGGCGGATCTACGCGCATTTACCCCGTCCTTAAGATGTTCATCAT